AGGCGCTGGATGACATCGAGCCAGAAGAAGGCCTCCCAGTGGAGGAGACAGAGACTTCGTTGTTTGCCAGCCCCTCTCAGACGGGCCTTATTGGAGTGCTGAAGCAGTTTTGCCTCCTGGGCTCCGTTGTCCGCGCAAGGGCTCGCTGCATTCGTCGCCGTATCCCCGCCAATCCCGAGGCTCAGCCGCTGAGTTTTGCGCCGGCTGTTGCTGCTGGCTTGGAGGCAGCTCTTCAGAAGCTGCTCACTCTCTCGCGTTCCCTCTTCCTCACCACCAAGAATGCTGGTCAACTGATGGCCACTCAAATGGTGAGACCGTACCCCCTGCTCCTGCATTTGTCACTTTTGTGCAATTTAAGCCGAGATTTGCGTTTCGCTTGACACAGCCCAAAGCAAAACGACTTGTTCTGATTCAATGGCAAAAACACCCGTACAGTCAGCTGCGAGTTTTGGCTTCAAATGTTTATGTTTAATGCCTCAGCCCGCCAATTTCATAGGACACGAAATTCAGAATGGAGACCGAAAACACGATTAAGTAAAGTTAACAGAATGGGCAGGACCAGAGAACTAGGCTAGTTTCCTCCGTAGTTCGCCCTTCTTTCTCGACGAGAGATAACTAATGGCGAAATGACTTGTGTACGCCTGGATTAACTTATGATGATAAGTATAGGGACGATATCAGCCCCACCGCCTTGCCTTTCAGTAGCGTAATGTTCCGACGCGTCTAGGTGGCTGGAGACGAGGTTGACCACGGCGGGAAAGCATTCGCTTTTCTCGACCAAGAATTGCTGCAGTTCATTGCTGTTCTCTCTCTCTCAGTCACATTCGCCACATTATGTTACTGAGTCATTGAAGTGACGCTCTAGGGACGTTAACTACTACTACTACTACTACTACTACTACTACTACTACTACTACTACTACTACTACTACTACTACTACTACTACTACTACTACTACTACTACTACTACTACTACTACTACTACTACTACTACTACTACTACTACTACTACTACTACTACTATTACTACT